TATATATATATATATAGTTCTATAAAACAGGAAATAGAAAATGTATTGGACTTTAGATTTATTCTGTGCCTTGTTTTGATTAATTTTCAACTAACGATCAAAGTTCAGAATATTTTATCTTGTATTATATATAGAAATACTGCGAATATTCCGACAGATGTCTCCAATTCATTTTATACTTGCGTTGTAGATCAGCGCAATTACGATTTAGCTTTCTACCGACATTCGACGTTGAGATCATGATAAATGATATCGCGAAATTGTAATACTTGTTATTTCATGTTACGTTTTATAATTCAATATCAAAGAATTCAGTGTTATTTTAGATATAAAAATCTAATTATTGGTGTGTTTTTTGGTGACATTAACAAATGTAATTTGTCAAAAATAAAAATTTTATCATATCATGTCGACATTAAATAAATATACTTGTCAACTGTCTTCGGAGGAAAAGATATATTTGGCGGCTAATTTAAATGAAACTGATGAAATTAGACCAATTAAAATTGCTGAAATAAGACAATGGATAATACAAAATAACGATTTATATGCGCCTACAGGTTCGAAATTTATTCTAAATTTAAATATAATTTTATTATCTTATATTTCAGTTAAAAAATTGTATATATGTATGTATATTATATTTTGTATTTTCATAGATGATTTTTTCATTCTTCGTTTCTTAAGAGCATGCAAATTTAATGTCGAGAAAACAAAGTCTAAACTTTGGAATTATTATAAGCAGAGAGCAAATCTTCCTGAATGGTATAGTAACAGGAATCCCTTTTTACCAGAGTTACAAGAACTGTTTAATTTAGGGTAATATTTACAAAAATTTATAAAAAAAATATTTTATATATTTTTAAAATAATAATAATATTTATAAATCTGATATATTATTTTTTTATAATATCTTAATTTATATAAATGTTTATGAATAAATTTATTTATGAATACTCAATATCATTATTTGTTATCATGTTCAATAATTTATTATCTTTTTGAAAACATAAGATTGCATTTAATATTGATATCATATTTACGTTTGATAAAATGCATTTTGTAACTGACCATTATTTCAGTTTTAATTTAATAAATCAATTATAATTAATTTCTTTAAACATTAATAACGTAGAATATATAATTAAAAAACACATTATTTATTAATATATGACGTAAGAAAAAATTGTTTTTTTAAATCTGATTTTCCAGGGTGTTTTTACCTTTGAGAAAATTAGATAACCAAGGCAGAATGATTGTGATAATACGCGTAGCTGCGCATTCTCCCAGTAGGCATAAAATATCAGATATGTTGAAGGTTTGAATAACAATTAACTTTGAATAACAAAAATATTTTAATAATATTAATTAAACTATGTAATTGAAAAAATAAGCAATATAATATTATTTTTTAGTTTAGCAATATTATTTTTTAAAATTCATTGTCGCAATATAATTTTAATTTTGTGTACAAGAAATAAAAAATTGTGGCTATATATAAATAAACAGATTTTTTTTTCGTATTAGGCTTCATTAATGATTTTGGATGTAGCATTACGAGATCACGAGTCAGTAACAATATATGGTATAACGAGTATCTTGGATTTAGACAATATCACATATGAGCATGTTCTCCAATTACCGCCAAATGTTATTAGAAATTTAGTTCATGCATGGCAAGGTTGTTACCCTGTTAGAATTTATTCGTTGGATTTTATTAATGCTCATAGATTTGTGAATACAGTATTAAACATATTTAGAAGTTTTATGAATACAAAATTGAAACAGAGAGTTCATATTCATTCACGAGATAAATTAAAATTACATGAAACTTTGCCGAAGAATATATTACCAAAAGAATATGGCGGTACGAATGGAACAGTTAAAGAATTAAGTGGTATATTTTTTTATGTATTTTTTTGAATATCTTGCTAACGTAAATGCAAATTGTGTCACTGTAATTATGTTTCAGAGTATTGGAAGCATGTTGTTGAAGAGAATCAAGAGTGGTTCATTGAGGAAGAAAAATACAAATTAACGTTGATTAAATAACTAGAATTAATTTACGACAATGAAGGATTGCATATGCAATTGTTGGAATAGTTAATAGTCAAATACAAGATAGACACCGAAATATTTTTTTATTTTTTGCAAATATTTTTTATACAGAAAATAGAATGGAAAATGGAAATATAAATTGCATCTGTGTATTGTTTCTTTTTTATAAATCTTTTTTATGTATTCTCTGTATAAGAGAATCAAATCGCCCGTTAAAAATATCGATAATATATAAAATATAATTCATATGCTACAATATGGTACATATTTTATGTCTTAAAATCGAATTGCATACTAACGCATATTAATTATTCTAATTATATCGGTCAATGTTGATCTTTATACAAAATATTAAACCTATTTCCATTTTACTTTTATATATCATTTTTTCGTTTTCCGTCTTTTTTAATCGTATCGTTTCTCATCACGTTACAAGATAAATAAAACATACATTTAAGTCATGGGCAAGTAGGACTCTCCTACATCTAATTCACTACTCATTAACTTAACCAGTTACTACTCACAATCCCATTTACAATTTACGAGGGCACGTTGTATCGGATATAAGTAAAAATCGTCTCGTTCATCACCAAATATACTGTACAGTGTTCTCGTAGGTCAATTTAAACGAGACGATGAATACTTCTTGTAAATATCCTTGGTAAAATGCATCCTTAAAGATACATATTATATTACAGATGTTGCACTAAATAAAAAAGAAGGGATAAAAGGAAAAAAGGATCCCCAAGGATCAAACACACTTTAAACACTCATTCGTTCTTTCATACAATTTACATTCAAGGGATATTAAGCGCATAAGGAGCATATCATATCTGAAAATTTATACACGGAGGCCGCAACGAGATCGTCTCGAGAAAGCTGTTAAAGCGATCGTTTTCCGCTTTAGGTTTCCAACAGTGGCTGATCATGATTGTTTCAGCCGAACCGACATGTTTTTAATTTGTTTTATTTTTTTCACGTAGCGATGACGATTTTCAAACGCTTGGATAAAGCGTATTTGAATCTACCCGCGCTTAAATTTGAGCACCAATATGCTTATCGTAAGGAACAGGATTATCCAACTGATGGTTGAAATAAAACCCAAATAAACGTCCATTTCTCCCATATCCCAACCTCGTGTTAACATAGCACGCAGCGCTGTCGTGGCCATTGTTAAAGGAAGAGCCTGCGATATACGTCGCAAGAACGATGGCATACCTTCTATTGGCCAAATCACACCTAGAATTGAATAAATAAATAATAAATAATTAATATATAATGTAAGTAAAACATCACAATATTTTTTAAGACAAGATAATTTCGTTTGAAGAAAACATTTTGTTATATTATTAATCGCATTTTCTTGCTCCGAATTTATCTTGTGAATTGTATTCTCAGTTTATAACATACATACCACTTAATAGAAGTGTAGGATAGAAACTGCCTAAAGCAAGCTGAATTGCATTCCTTTCAAGTTCGCAAATTGCTGAAATTACAAACCCTGAAAGCAATAAAAAGAATATGAAGAATAATTTATTTTTTCCATAATTATAGTAAATATTGTTATGAATATATAATAATTTTAATTAACATTAAATATTATTTTTATTATAGTTAGAAATTACTCATAAAAGATTATTATTTAAACTTACCGAAGCACATGCCACAAAGACCTTGAAGAATTGTCAAAACTATTACCCAACCGACTTGTCCCTGACATTCGACAGTGAAGGCAACAAGCATGACGATTAGCACTAATGCAGTTTGACCGCACATCACCACAAATTGGGTAATCACATGAGAAAAAATGATTTCTGCAGGTAAAACACCAGCTACCCAGCTTCTATCTAAAAGACCTTCCATTCTTTCGATGATTAAAATGGAAGAAGTAAGAGCTACCGCCAAGAAAAAGACAATGCTGCAAGAAAAATATACTTCTAAATATCTTCCGAGTTATTTTTTTGAATTTTATATCGATAATCTGATAAATTGATTTTTACTTACGTTAAAATTACTCCAGGTGCCACGAAATCGGTGAAACTGGGTTCCTGAGTACCGTAAATTGGATCCTTAAATTGAATTGGTATGTCAGCTAATTTTTCATTCTGGTCACAAGATTTTAAAAGATCTTTGGCGAAATCCCTGTATGAATATTGGATATCTCTGACTAATATCAGGCCTACTTGTTGATCTATAATAATAACAAATATATATAATAGTTGGTTATATTTTAATATTCGGAAAAATATAATTTATGACTCGAATTTATAAACTTACTGGACATATCTAGCCAAACCCTGAGTTCACTTTGATCTAAGGTTTCTTCATCAGCTTCTCTTCCTAAGGCCATTCTTGCAACAAGAGCGTCCGTGAAATTCTCTGTAAAATACAGAGTTCCCCAAACATTTCCTTCTCGTACAGCATTTATAGCTGAATCAAGATCCGAATAATAATGCTAAAATATAGATGTTTTTTTTAATAACTATATATTAGAACCAGAGTCGTTTTTAAAAATCAATAATCTTACTTTTTCTATTAAGTCTGAGTTTAAAAAACTAAGATATCGACAACTAAGCAGTGATAAGTTGCAACCATCTAATACCGGACAACTCGAATTTCCAACAGGAATTTCATGATTAACTATCGCCATTTTTAAATCTGTTGGATCTTTACCGATTGCCAAACAGAATAGAACTACTTGCATTACTGGGAGTGCAAAAACGAATAGTAATACTCTGTAACAAAAAAAAATTATTATTTTCATTTAATAAGAAATTTATAATATTATTTTTATTGCATTTAATAGATAGAAAACTTACCCCACATTCCTATACATACGTAAAAAGTTTTTTTGCAACAAAGCTTTCATTCTACCATTAATTAATATTTTGTACCAGTCAGAAAATTTATTAGAAGAATTCCAATTCCTCATTTTTTTCCCACCGGATAGCGGTTTTCCATTCATCTGTTGCACAAAAAATAAACAAATTCTAGAAATTTACGATATGTACCACAAGACTATTTATTTATTTATTGAAAAAATATACGCTGATTAAAATAGTTTTTCATATAATAGAAACAAATGAAAATTTTTTAAATATGTTCTTACATCATAATGATTTCCAAGATCATTCGTTGAATCATGAATGAGAACCTCTTTGCTCGGGGAAAAGTTTAAGCCAACAACGCCCGACTCTTCTGTTACATATACTGGTTCACTTTTTTTATTCCAGTTTAGAGATGCCTGCAAGAATATGGTCGAAATTAGTTTTTTGTATTTATTTTATTTAATAAGCTTTATTTAATATAATTGTTTTATTCATTATTATAATTTTATTTAATATTTTTATTTTTTTAATATTTATTGATTGTATAATTCAATATATTAATTCAATAAATTCATCATTTAAATTGTGAAAATTCGTTTTTATAATTCATGTATAATTTATATCAACTTAATCAAATATATCTTTTGTATTATCTAAGTTTTATTTTTAAATCCATTTATTTTTGGATTCATTATTATTTTATTATTACTTATTCCAATAATTTATTCTTTTTTTAAATTCAGGTTTTTTCCTTACCAAGTTAATATTATTCGAGATATTCATTGTTACTGGTTGTTGAGTAACTTGCACTTCTTGTCGTGATAATTTTAGAAAAACATCTTCCAAAGAAGTACAATTATACATTGTTAGAAGAGTCCTGGGAGATTCTTCAGCTAATAATCGACCAGTCCTCATCAAACCAATCTGTCAAAAAAAGATTCAAACAAAAAAATCTTTTAGAAATCAAGTAATATTACATAAATTTTTAATTTAAATAAAATATTTATTTCTCGAATTTTCTCTCTTAAATTTCTACGAATAATTTTTTATTTGATTTCATTTTTTTCATCTAAATGTGTAACGTACAATTGTTGAAAAGAAATATATGTTGCACAATTTTAATACGGGATCATTATTGTAATTGAACAATTTTGTTTGGTGATGGTGATGGTTGCATCGTGTATTATATTCCCACCGATATTGTGCCCCGAATATTTTTATTACACATTAACGATGGCATTGCATAATATTCTACGTACTGTGTGCGCTTGTCGAGCCTCCTCGATATAATGCGTGGTTATGATTACGGTCTTGTTACCATCCTTCGTGATTTGGACCAAATGGTTCCAAATGCTGCAACAGAAAAAGCATTGTTAATCTTACAAATACCAATAACATATATATTATAAAAAAAAGATCATTGATTTTAAGAGCTTATGACATTTGAGAATTTTGTTTTAAATTAATTTTTATGAATATCTTTTTTTATCCATAAAATTTTATGAATTTCAATTATTTTCTTAATATATTTGAAGATTTACTTCAAGAATATTAAAAAATATTCTGATACGATTCAAAATCATCATCATCGATACACTTTTTTAGAAGAATTTTAATATTTTAACACATAAGGAAAATTAATTTTTCGATTAGTCAAGCTACATTCTATGAGAAATCCCGGAAGCGGAGGATCATTACACACGAACGCCTGAATTTCGAGAAACTGGTATGTCTTAAATACCGATGATCGCGAGTATTCACTATGATCCAAGGAAGTCTATTCGCTTTACAGCAGTCATAATCGCCTCTCGAACTTTCTAGCGGCTAATTAACTCTCTTTGTCGTTTGTCGTTCTTTTGAAAAAAGGAACGGATGTACCGGATGGAACTATCGGAGGATCTGGTTAATCTGTTTACAGAGCAGTTGAGAATCTTAATTTTTTAAAGAGATATCTAACTTGAATAGAATGTGGAAGATTTACGAGAATCTTGATTGAACCTCGAACTTTCTGAAAGAATTTGTGCAAGCAAGAAGGATGATAAATTGATGCAATTTATCAAAAATTTTAACCTAAATTTACTTTCCATCTTGAATCCTACTTTACATCACTTTGAAATTTTCAATGGAAAATTTTATCGAAGAGATTTCAATTACGACTCTATTTTCCCATTTATTTAATTAAAATTATCAGTGTTGTTTTTATATGAACATTCACAGGCTAAAGTTTTCTAAACAATGAAGGACTCGAGATAAATTAAGAAAATATTTATCAAGGTCTATCTTAATTACAGAATGATAAACGTTTACATCCTTATTTAATTCTAAAATAAAATTCATTGTAAATCAGTTCTCACAATTTCGCAATAATTTAATCTAGTAATTCAAGGAAATTTCATCGTCGTAAATAATATCTCAATATTAATTTAATCATTTTTATACGAATTGATTTTATCCACATTCTAGTTATGATAATTGGAAAGCAATCTGACACCGATATTTCATTCAGCAAATGAAATTTGCTTGTCTCGGTGAAATACCATTTCTCTATTTTTTAATGTTTTTGAATTCTTTTATTGCCACACTCAATAACTTCTTGGCAGACCATGAAACACCGTAAATTTTTCTTCATCAAGAATCCATTGAATGAGAAATAAAAAGCGTTTAGAAAATCCACTATTCGATATAAGCATTTTGCGTAATTAAGAATAATCTTCATTTATACGTTTCAATCGAGTTGGGAAACGTGCGTTATTTAAAGACATTTTAAAACGTATGTTTAGGAAAATTGCATGGAAATTGCATTCCAGAGAGCAAGCGTTAATTTTTCCTCTGCAGTTGGTTGGAAACAAAAGATCGTTTAGAATCTGCGTTCAGTCACCTTTACTCCTAATTTTTCTCTCTTCTCTTTGAGCTTGGTAAATGATACTTTCACTTAAAAGTGAATCTTAAAAGCACGATGTATCCTGCAATCATTCATTTGTTATGCACTACTTTATTTTTGTTATTCGATTTTTTACAAGAATTTTTTTTCCCTATAATCTTTCCGAATTTAGCCTTGGAAGGTCTTTAACCTCGTGTATATCTTTAGAGATACTTTCAGTCACATTAGAACAGGTTCTGTCTTTAAATCGTATAGTTCTAATCTAATCCATTACATCAGCTCAAGATATTTTGGAAAAATATTGATGAAAATTTGGTGAAAAAGAAAAAAATGATAATTTATCAGATCAAAATATACAGAAAATATTCGTTTGATAAGAAAAATTAATCTTCATTAGAACTGGTTTCTCAGCGAATATTTTTAGAAAGATGATTTTGAATCTAATAAAAATTATGGATAAGCTAAACCTATTTCAAACAATGAGTCCTCTACTTTCGATATATCCATTCTGAACGCCATCGTGAACTTACCTTTGTCGCAAAAGAGGATCCACACCCACTGTTGGCTCGTCGAGAATCAAGAGTTCTGGATCATGCATCAGAGCAACGGCGAACGATACTCGTCGCTGTTGGCCACCGCTGCAATCGAAAAAATAATAATTTCATTATTAGTGGGAAAGTTGTACGATTTTCTTTATTTCCATTTCAACGAAAAGAATTCATTCTTATACACCAGATATATGGATTGAAATTAATTTTACCTAAGATTTTTCACTAATCGATTTTGACTGGGTAGATCGAGGAATTTCAAGAGAAATTGAAGTCTTTCCATGATTTCGGCGGTATCCATTTCGAATATCCATCCGAAGTATATCATAGTTTCCTTTATACTGAATTCTCCGTAGAGGGCGATTTCCTGCGGCATGTAACCGACCCTCCTTCCGGGAACTCCGGATCCTTTGGTGCCTGGCTTGCCACCGAGTACCCAGATCTCGCCGGCGTTCAATTTCCTTCGACCAACGATGCATGAGAGCAGGGTGGTTTTACCGCAACCGCTGGCACCAAGAAGCCCGTAACTAATTCAGAGGAAAAGATCAGTGAGAGAACGTGTTGTAATCGTAGGTATCGAGAAAAGAAAACAACGATCGAACCGCGGAATTGAATTCGCGATTTCCGATCAGAAGCCATAATCATTTCTCGTGGTTATTGCTTATAGATGATTCTCAAGAAATCAAGTAACTAAGAAAACTATCTAATTACCGTATGAATTTGTTTAGAATTAGAATAATCGTGAGTTATTAACCGATAGATTTCTAAGATTAATCCAGCGGCGACCAATCGTTTCACGTTTTCCTCGTCTATTCGTTATTTCGAATTGTCCGAGCATTCGAGCATGTTCGGGCATGTTCGGGAAAGATCGGATAGATTCGGATATCGAAAAGCATTGGCTATACAATATTTTCGTATATATTTCGTGTATCTATCCGAGGCTTATCCAAATGTTTCGAGCATATTTGTCCTTTTCCCCATTTAATCGCGAGATAGATGATTTCCTGTGTAATCGTAATCATGCGATCGCGCGCGAGTTACGTATTTCCTTGGCATAAAATCCGATGTTCGTAATAGTAATCGACATAATGGGCCGCGTGCGTAATAAAATTACACAACGGGGATAACGGTGTTTCGCGAATTCGTATTATTCCGGAAACTTTGAACTCGAGTAGAAACCGCTGAGTTTCCGTATATCGAAATGGGAATACTCGCTCGAGCGGAACCGATTCCACGGTGAATCGCGCGTAACAGAATACGATTGTTCGGTCGGAGAAGCGTAGAAATATTGGCCAGAGATCGTCGTCACGTTCCGTTGATCCCTCTTTACCCGTTGCTTTCTAAGAAAGCCGCCTTTCGATTAAGCCCTAAGCGATTTATTATTCTTCGCCGTTTAAACTCGTATCTCCCGTATCGAACGAAACAACATAATTTATTCTATTCGTTTTACAAAATTAATCGATAACTATTTATTATAGATTTATAAGTTTCATAGGAAGTACTTAGAATTGATTTCATCAGAATAATTAACGTAAGTCAAGGATTACCAGTTTCAGATCTTTTTTTTTTTATTTATAACAGATAAATAATTCAATCTTGCGTCAAATATTAATAGATAATCAACTACGATTAACTTTTTATACTTATTTTTATACTTTTTATACTTAATTTTTAATTACAATTTATAATTTTATTATAAATAAGGATAATTCTTTTATCCGTAATCTCCATTCTCCCGACGCTTTCACCGAGAATTCTAATCGATAATCACGAAAAGACAGATCTTATTGTTCCGCTGAAATTACATATTATCGATACAAGATATAATTCGGCGAAAGTTGCAGACAGGTTACAGATAGATTCAAAGTAGATTTTTGATAAAGATACTCACATGGATCCTTTAGCCACGGTCATGTTAAGGTTTTGAAGAATATGGTTCGGATTTCTCGAACTTCCATAAGTTTTGAACGCGTTCCTCACGCAAACCGCTTGCTGCCGATTCCACGCGGTGTTGTTCAATCCTGGTGTTACCGAGCTCGGTATGTCCAAGGATGTTTCCGAATTGTTCTGCATGATGTTGCCACTCGCCAGATTACAGTCACTTCTTACAGTCTCGTCGCTGGGAAGAAAAGAAAACTATTTCACGTAATCGTTACTTGTAAATATACATTTTGATACATTTTTTATCGCGTTAAAAGCGGTCGGAGTGCGCAAAAAGGCACGTAACCAGCGTGAAAAAAGTATGCATGTTAAAGGCTACGGTGCGCCAATCGAAGCGCTCGTGACGCAAAACAAGCTAATTGAGAATAATAAATGAAACACCGAATTGTTAGCTTATGCGGTGACGTGCATTTCTCGATTTCCGAGTAAATTACTATACAAGGGTCCAAAGTTTCTGGAAGGTTTTTTTTTTTTTTTTTGCACGACTTCGATTCAACTTCCAATTTCCATGAATTTTCATCGTGATTCATTTCCTATGTATTCGCCTAACAGCGAATGATAATTCGAAAGATCCAATTGTTGTGCCATTGATCCAAATATCGAACCAGGGTTAAGCCGCAACGACGATTACGAAAAATTTAGAATCGATTTGCAATCGAGTCACGAACGAAACAGGGTCGAGTCACGGTCAAGCAAGAAAGACGCTACTTTGAACTACTTTTGATTTAACGGATCGTCCATTTTCGATCAATCGTTCGATCGTCGATCTGCAAACCAATCGACGCTCGTTTGCGAGAAAAATCTCGAACCGAGAACAATCTTTTCACAGTTATCGTTGTGTACAGGTGAATCACTGCTGAGTCAACCTCACTCTCGTGCACTTTAATCTCTCACCGAATTATATATATATATATATATTCATAACAGACATCTTTTCTTCACTTAACAAGATTGGATAAATATTTTTCTCGTAACGAAATGTCAGATCAGAGACCATTTGACGTTTCATTGTTAACATTGTTATTATTTGCTTATTACACGTCACGTAATCCCAACTTCTACACGTTTTGCTTTAATTTTCATGAAAATTTTGTTTGTATTTTACATAAGAATGATCACGCTTGAGAGCGATTAGCTGCATTTGCTCGTTACATTATTTTTATTTGTAATACTTTTTGCAACAAGCGTTAATCTAACGAGGAGAGAATATCTACTAGATAAAATCGTCACAATCGAAGGATCGGCATAAATAAATAGACAGCTGGCGAGGCCCTAAAATCAAAGCCTCGAATAGTTTACGTGCGTGGCGACGGACTTCGTCCAACCAGGATCGTTTAGAAAGAGGGAACGTGGTTGCTTACGTAAGAAAACGGCTTTCTTTTCGCTCGCCGGTTCATTGGGCAACGCGTATCGACGTATCTGTTCACCGGTCGGTTGAGGCCGATATTACGCCGTTTGCACCGGCGAAAAGCGCGTACATAACTCGTTTTCGAAGAAATATATCGCTGGTCCAAGGCCGTGCAACAAATATTTTTCCATCGCGATTTTTCCATTTATTGTTTTCTCTCCCCATTTCGATCCCAATATACTTTTTTTGATTCCGTGCAAACTCGACATCCTCGCCTTTATCCTTTAGTTATTTCGATAGACACGGTTGAACACCTTCTTTCCCCGATTGAAGTTTGATTTCATGAATATATAGTACGTTTTACAGTCGTGTTTTACAGAAATAGAAAGAAATCGAATCGATTTGTTAATAGAAAACTCGAAATTTTTCCTTCGATGCGAAAATAATTTTTTCTTATCCGTTCATAATGCAAAAACATAACCGATTTATTATTTATTATCGAAACAAACGTAACATACTTGCACCCATAATGCACGTAAATAAAAATCTACGTACGGGAGGAGATCACGAAAAAAAGAAAATTTGTTTACTCGCGCAAATATTTACGATCGAGGAATAATGAAGCAAAAATGGCAGAGTATCGTTACGTAATGAGATTCTAGACTGGCGGGCCACGTCTAAGACATCGTCGAAAAGCGATACGGATCGGGCGAAAAGGTCAGCCCGTTTGAATCGGGAATAAATCTCCTCGAAGCGGTTTCCTCTGTTGTCGCGAGAGTCTATCCGACTCCCGCCATGGTTAAATTACAGTATGCGCTCGTAGAATGCACGTGTCTCTCTAAATGAGGAAAAGCCAACAAACCGTGTTTCGTAACGTGTTTCGAGTGAGCAGATATCGGAAGAAAGCAACGGTCGTTCGAAGACGCTTCTGTGGTTCTCGGTAGCTTATCTTTTCTCCGTGATCTTCGATGATCACGGATTGCAAAGCTGGAAGCGAATTATTGCCAAGTGTTGTTTAATTCATCCGGCATTCCTACGAATCGTGTAATATAACTTCCTTTTGCTCCACCAACCATGATTGATTACGAGAGGATGTTGGAAGAAAGCAACCGCTGCGAAGACGCTTTTCACCAGCGTATCATTCATTGTGACGAATGATAATTTAATCCACTGGCACTCGTGAAGCCAGTTGTATTATACTCCCACGGCCTTAGTATCATTATCTAGTTTATTATCTACGAGAAAGAAATATTTTTGGAATATTTTTGGACTGGCAAGAATTAAGAACTAAATTGCAAAAAGTTAAAAGATGTGAAAGTAAAGCGAAGAGAAAGAAAAGGGTATCCTGGATGTGGAGCAAGTTGGGCTCGAATCCTGAATTACTGGATTCATATTTTTTTTCTCTTTTATTAAATTCAAATACAGATTAGCAAAAAAAAAAAAAAACGTCCATTGCGAATTTATGATTTATAATTTAACTTGCGAAACTTGCGTTTTATGTTCAACGATGAATATTGGATACGAAATGAAAAAAAAGAAGACATAACACTCGAGGACATAAAGTTCGAGATTATAGAAATTTAGAAATCTTAAATTCGATTCCGAGAGAAAAAAAAAAAAAAAGAAAGATACGATCGAATATTCGATCGAAATTTCCTCGAATCACATTTCTTTTCATTCGTGTAACAATTTTACCCGCGTGTGTCACGATGCATATGATTCCATTGCAAATTATTTTGCATTCGTTGCAAATTTTCAAGACGTCGAGATGCAACTTTATTATCCTCCATTACCGCGTTCGGTTGTACATTCGATTGTAATCGTACAGGTACACGCTCGAGCGCTTTCGACATTTCACGTAACTTCCTTCGAGACGAGGGGAAGTCGACTTATCGAGAGAACAGTTATCGACTCGTGTACAGAGCGTACACGTTCGGATACGTGTAACAATTTGAAGCACGGTAACGCGTTACGACTATATACATATATATACAAGCCGCGTGATAATTAGCGGGAAGAGTAACGCGGCTCTCTCATAAATTAAATAGAAAGGGGAAAATGTTTATGCGGATGAGGGGAAAAAAGAAAAAAAAAAAGAAAAAAAAAAAAGGAGAAAAAATATTACTCCGTGACGTAAAGAAATTTACAACGCGTTGTTATTCAATATCTACGCAAAGGATTAAGCAACGCGATAAACATCGAACCTTCTGCTAATTTTATTCTTGCCTCAATGTGTTTCGACGTATTCCTCGATTACGAACCTCGTTCGGAATTTCAATGAGCATCAAGCGATAAATTTCACTTTGTCCAATGATTAATATTTTAATTTTGAGATTGAAGGATGGTTGATTCTTTTTTTTTTTTTTATTTTTTTTTATTTTTTTTTGAGGAAACGATTTTTCGTGACGGTTTTCGATACGGATGGTACGGGTATACGTGGTAATCGGACTCGCGAGTAGATAATGACTGTATATAGTCAGACGGAGGCAGCCTGAATTAATTTACGATTAGATTACTTAATCTCTTGTCGTTTCGAGGTGACGAGTGTCACTGTCTCGTCACCGGTAGCGATGGGTAAAATTTTTAACGATTGAAGTTAAGAGTAAAAACTACTTACTTCGATAAGTTGCTCGAAAAAAATTTATCATTTAACGTGTTGAATAATCGTAATTGTGATTCAAAATGGAGGGACGAAGTATAATAGTTACGAATAAAAAATGTTGTTCGAGCATTTTAAATAAAATGTTATTACTTAAAGTAACTTTACTCGAAATTTTTAATTAATTTTTCAACCTATTGTGTGTGCAATCATACACCTTCCTGCGTCATTCTTATCTTCGAATAAACATATATTATTATGCGCAAGTTTGAAATGGAAAATAAACGTGTTAATTAAATTAGTATTAATATTTATAACGTTAATTTCGAAAAAATAACAAATTGAACAGATAATTAACAGAAAATTCGACGATGGATTTAACATTAACAATCATGATCGATAAATTTCAAGTAAATTAAATTCAGGCCAATCTTGTTAAAAAAAAAAGACAAGAAACGCATATTACTTTTTGAGCTACAATTTCTTTCAA